GCCATGACAACAAATCAAGCATCATAATGTGTCAAGCAATGCGTCAATGCCAACTGTGGAACGCTGCGACGATGCTGCAGTCGCTGCCAGGCGCATTACAACGTAATTGACGAGGATTGTCAACACTTGGACAACAGGCGGGCAGCTGGATACCCTAGATACCCTCCGTCCGGAGAGACCCCCATGGCACACCACAACACCTTGCTTGCCTGCCGTACCTTAGCGCCCAGCTCTGCTCTTTCGAGCCACTTACTTTATTTCTCTCAATTACCGATTACAGCTAACTTAATGGTAGACTCGTTTTTATACCCTGTGCCCATTTAAAACCGACAAAAGGCAATTAACGAAGTGTGCAATGCTTGTTACAGATAAAAATCTATTCCATACCAAAATATATAAATTCCTTATCAAGAGATGGTAAGTTGAGTCACAGTTTTTATACACGTTTCGATCCCAAAAACTTGAAACTTGCTCAGATACTAAATATTTCACTTTTTGAATGCCTCCGCTTATTATTATGCTCGACAGATTACAGGGTATCTGCTTGTTGAGCTATCTCAACTAGAGCACGCCAGCTTGTTTCTTTACTTTTGTTGTTCAATTGCAATCGCTGCAATATCTTACAGCATTTTTTACCTGTCGCGCATGGTGATAATTTATTGTCCTAACTGTTCTGTTCGACTCCTAAAAAATGTGAGCTCAGCTGTACCTTGCATAGATGAATAGTGCATTAGGTGAACGACTCCAATAAAATTCCATGGTAGCCACTCGCTTTGGTTTTTTATCACAGGAACCATAAAAGTTTCACTTTAATTAAGGTATTTCGATTATAGCGTAATAAAACAACGAAGGGCGCTCAAGACGGGAATGCCCGACTAGGAAATACCGAGCATAGGGTAGGCTATCTTTAAAAGATACGCACGCACGCTTTCTTGACTACCTCTTATAAACCTCAATATCTTAGGTTACTAATTTGGCTACCACATATGTAAATAACAAAGGTAACAGCAATACCAAACCAAAATATTTTTTTATTTGATTTATTTACTCACAACTCTTACTCATGTACCCTGAGCCCATTGAAAATGGGTAAAAAGGGGATAATGTTTTTGAACAAATGTATGTAACAGGCAGAAGGCAGCATCTCCGACCCCATAAAGTATATATATTCTTGATCAGCATCAGCAGCTGAGTCGATCTCGCCATGTCCGCCTGTCTATCCGTCTGTCCGTCCGTCCGTCCGTCCGTCCGCCCGTATGTATGAACTAGCTAGAGGCTTGAAAATTGTTTTTAGGTCCTCCTAGTCCATGCGCAGATCGCGTTTGTTTCAGATAATCGATAACTTACTTCGTATCCAACCAATCGATAAAAATCGATATCAAATAGAATGTATATATCAAGCATCTTTCGTTTTATGCCTATGGCCACCTCGCCGCTACTACCCCATAGCTATTAATCAAGTAAATAACCCAACTTGTAAAGTCCACCATTTTAAGCTACAATTTTAATGCAATTTCCTTTTCAGAATACACAAATATTCTATGGCACAAGATGTACTGTAGAAAATTTAATTAAGATCGGTTAAGAAACTCACAAAAGTTATGTGTTTTGGTTGCGCACGTGTTAGCAGCAGCTAGTGCAAATTGCAAGAATTTCTGTATACATGTACACACAAACACATTCATGCGCGTCTTCTTTGAATTCAATCAACAGCATTGCAATTGCGATTTTATTTTTTTCTGTGCTGCTATTTTAATTCGTTTTTTTTCTTAAAACTCAATTACTGGAATGGTTATTAAGTAGGGGCGCTGGCAAGTAGTGCTAGTTACGAGTTCAAACTCTTCTTTTTGTTGCTGGTGTGGCTGTTGAGTAGAGTCTGCAGTAAGTAATGCGGTCAGTTGCAAGTTCGAACCCTGGCAAGGAAACATTTTTTTCTAAATTTATCTTTATAATCTATAATCGATGTTACTATGATGTTGGAATAAAAGGGTTCAGTGTATTTCCTAGTCGGGAGCTCCCGACTAGAACCTCTTACTTGTTTTAACATTGAGATTTCGCCCTAATTAAAATATTATTTGGTTAATGGTACAGTTTTTAATTAATATTTAGATATATTTAAAAAATAAGATTCTAGTTATTTCACAAAACCAATTAACCCAATTTCGTCCACTTTAAATTATCTAAAATGTTGTATACATCAATCATACCTAACGCATTATTAGTGAGATTAATGGCAACACAAATTTATTTTTGTTAAGAGTTGCGTTAATAAACAATACAAGGTAGGATCTATGAAACCTGAAAATACAAGCCAAAGTAATGCAGTAAATTAAATTAGGGATGTCCAAAAACAGAGCCCCTCACAATGATAATGATGATGCGAAGGAAAATTGTCAACACAGGATGAAGAGGATTGCCGGTTGGCCCTTTGCGGTGGTTTTCAGTTAACGTTTACGCCGCTCGCAATGACAGTTGACGGTCTGTCAAACGAATATCTGTCAACAAGTTGAACATCGTTTTCAATTCTGAAACGTTCGCAAAATGTCAGGAGGCAAAATTTATGTGACTCGACTGCGGATAGGAGCCGATTAAAGTGCGGGGGCTGTCACAGAAATTCTCGTTGCAAATTATCGTACATTGGCGCAGTATTTCTTAACGCTCGTTATAGAAGTACCAGCAATCAACCAGACAACCGACCTTCCATCAATCGAAACAGCGATTCATCGCAAGGGGAACGCAACATTTTTATGCGTCTGCATAATGAGTTGCAGTTGTTGCCGTTGTTGCCTTTGTTGCATTCGTGGATGTTGATGTCCTGCCTGTCCTGTCAGTTGGGCTGATGCTACTGCTTCTGCTGTTGATTGTCCCTTGACAGGGCATCAAATGCGAAAACGACCGCCCAATTTACATACAATGCACATCAATCCAACTGCAACAATAACAATAACAACAACAACAACAACAATATCAGCAGCTGTAGCAACAACAACATAGGGTACTGCAACTGCCACTGCCACAACACAGGCACTGCGCACCTTTGTGGCATCAGCATTTTTCCTTTCATTTCAATTCGCTTCGTTTCGTCTCGATTTCCTCCTTTTGACTCTCCTTGCCGTTTGGGCCGCACTATAAAGCGTACTTGTTGTCCAACTCCAATGGCAACAACTTCAGCGGCCATGACACAAGGATTGACAGCATGTCGTCGCTGTTTGGAATCCTGATTGACATGAGTAATCAAGCAGCCGAAATGTGCCCACAAAACGCAGCCAGAATGACACTGACGGCAACCTACCAAGCCAAGCTACCTACCAACTTACCGACCAGCGAAACAACAAAAACACCAGCAACAACGAAACATCACCAACATTGGACTGACCGAACACTGCGATGATGGCCACAACAAGGGACCAATTGAAGGCTAGCTTCAGATTACGGCAGAAGGGCTCTCGAGCTAACATCAAGAATCAGGCTTACCCAATATTAAATAGAATTTGCAAATCAATTAATAATCTTGTAACATTATCAAACAATATAGTCTATATAACAACTAGAAATCCGAGCAGAATCAAGCTAACACGAAGAATTTTATAAAATAGGTGGGTATACCCTGTATTTTGCTATCATTAAATTTTCTTCTAAATTTTCTGCTAATCTAAAATTTTTTTTTTAAAGCAAGTAGCTATAAAATTAATGATGCTTGATCTGCTCTATGCTTCTCTAGAAGCTACATGATAAATTTGGTGACTACAGAATTTCGATATCGATTGTTATCGAATGCTTGGACACGAAACGGGACACGTTGTTAGATTGTCGGAAACAAACTCGTACTGCGTGTCTCTACCCTCTATAGTTTCTGAGATTAGCTTTGATACGTATGGACAGACGGATGAACAAACAGAAGGAAATGATCGACTACACAAAATCATTACCCATTTTGAATGGGTCCATATATTTTTCCAAATAAGTTATTTGTGGAGTACCTTTATTATATACCTAACTAGAACTTCTAACTTTAGATACACAAAGTGAAAGCTTGCAGGTTGATGATCATTTCAAAAGATCGACCAATGTTATTAGTCACGCCCACTAGACATAGAGCAAGCCGGCACAAAATGTACGCAAAAACTCGATAGGTAAGAAATTCCCTGCTTCGGGGTCAAAGTCTCCGTGCAAGCAACGCCATGATCTAAGCTGGTTTAGCACTGGCAGCAGATTATTGAGCAGTCGGTTACACCCAGTTTTAAAAGTTAAAGTAGATATTGTCAATATTCCGTAGGTAACATCTACGTTAGAAGGGGAAATGTATTGTAAAGGAATTGTACATTGGCAGCCAATTTTCGCATCAAATGCAAATTGTATGGGGGATGACAGCTCCCTCAATGTGGCGAGTCTTTGGATTACATACACATACAATTCCATTGCCAACTCGACGCTCGAGTTTCGCCTTTGATGAAGGCGACACGACATTGACAGACGGCAGCCGATTGACTTCTGACAGCCAGCCAGCAGCTACTAAGGCAGCCAGCGAGATCTGGCACAACGGCCACTGGGTTCGATCATTGGGGAGACAGGGTCCACACTACCATTCTGATGACTTTTTGTCAGGCTGATTGACGTCAACGACTCGACGAAAGGCTGGCACATAAATCTTGAGTCTCGTTTGTTGCCTCTTCTTCGAGGCAGGCTCAACTTTCAGGGATTATGCCGACGACGGCTACGGGCGGCCATAAACAATGTCATTTTAAATTGGCTATCGATGAGACAATAAATTTTGGAATGAATTACTATCCGTGGATTTAATTTAAATTAATAAAAGCCTTGCCAAACGCGCCAGTAATTGTTGGAGCGAAAGTAAACGCTCTGCAACATTTACGAACTTGAACCGAAATGGGCGTGACCAAATCTAAATTCGAAAGTAAGTAGCCAAAACTGCCTAATCTCTGACTATAAATACGAATGCTTGAACCTAGTTCAAACACAGTTCGCTTGGGTTTAGAGTTCAAACAACGCCTAGCAAGATCAACTCATTAATCTGCTGCAGCACCATGGCCTTTAAGGTAAGCTAAAATTGCGAGTTCCGCAAATCTTGCAGCTAATTGATCCTTTTTATAGATATTCGCAGTATGTGCCTTGCTGGCCTGTGTGGTCGTCCGAGCCGCTCCTTTTCATGGTGGAGCCACAAGTCACGCCTCAGTGCACCTGGTGTCTCACGACGACCACCATGAGGGAGCAGGCCACCACCATCACGAACATCATGACGATCACCATGACTCCCATGCCGAATACAACTTCAACTATGGTGTCAAGGATCACAAGACAGGCGATGTCAAAGAGCACAGCGAACATCGTGATGGCCACAAGGTGACTGGACACTATGAGTTGATCGATGCCGATGGTCACAAGCGTACTGTCCACTACACTGCTGACAAGCACAAGGGCTTTGAGGCCCAAGTCCACCGCGAGAAGCTGCATCATTTCGTGCCCGCACACCAGGCACATGGTCACAGCGGATATAAGGGCGGCAAGGTTGACTTCGAGGAGCATTCCGATTCCGGCAGTTCTGGCTACTCCGGCCATGGTCATGAGGATTACCACTCTCACGGCCATGAAGGTGGTCACCATGGTTCTAGCTCTCACAGCTTTACATTGAGTCAAGAGCACGGAACCGGACACGATGCTGGACATGATGCTGGACACTATGCTGGGCACGATGCAGGCTATGAACATTCATACGGTGGACATGAGCACAGCTATCATTAATTAACAAAACTGGATGGATCGCTGTGATCTCATCTTGAATATATTACCAAATATTATTGTTATCCTCCAATAAATATTGCAATCTTTTTCCAAAGTGAATATCTCGCATTTTACTATTTATTGTATTGTATTATTTTGATTCATTCGTCAATAGAATTAATATGTACTAAAAATGTTCCTTTATGGATTTTAAGAAGAAGTCCGGCTTTTCTTATAGAATAATGAATGGGAATTGTGAGTCTTATATGAAAAAATATCCTGATATTCAGAATATTTACAATAATATTAGCAATTACGAGCATTGAGTTTTCATAACTGCCATAATCCTATTTAGTTCGTATGATTAGCAAATGAATTTCTGAAAGTTAAACGAGATGCCGAAATCAACAATTCTAATAATTCCAACATAATTTACTGTTGCCCAACCCAGAAAACAACCCCTATTAGCAACAATGAACTAAAAACAAAAAAAAAAAAAACATTTTTATCACTTACCACACAAATTCACATTGCGCGACGCAAAAAATGCGATAATAAATAAAAATAATAGCAACTGCAATTTTCGCACTATATTTTATGTATAATGTATAAAATGCGTGCCACACACAAATATATACACACGCACAAACACGAAACGTATAAAAATAATAAATTACTTCAATAGCCGGATAACTGTAGGAGCAAGGCCGCACAAGGAGGGGAAGGGGAGGCTGTGCGAAATGGAGAAGAGCGTTTATTATGCGCACAATAAACGCGGCGGGCGCAGTGGCGACATAAATTAAATTTATGATGCTTATAAATATTCCACAGTCATTTGTAATATAGCAACAAGGAGAACGGGGCAACAGGATAACGCAAGGATGCAGCCTGTCTGCTGAACAAATTGTAGGCTACAGGGGTAGATATAGCAAATACTCACACCCATAAACACACACACACACACACACACACACGCACAGACACAATACTCACACGTAAACACAAGAGAAATAAGCCCTGATTTATGGATATCAGACGAGTAGTCCGAAAATGTCCCACAGCAAATCAAATCATCTTTAGAACTTCAAATGAAAAGCTCGACAGTTTCGGAAGCATACGCCTCACAGTTGCTGTAATAAATATGTAGATGCAGCCAATACACATAAAACCCATTCAATAGTTGAGGTTTATTTTCGAGTCGCATATTGTTCGCATATTCCATGGATGGCCTAAAATATTCCCTTGCCAAGGCCACATACGCACACAACTATGGAATTCAATTTGTTTAATTGCATAACTAAAGATTCTTTTTCGGCCTAAAGAAAATATAATTTGACTTGTGCTATCTCAGTTCAAATTTGACATAGATATTTGAAAATGAGTTTGAAGCCTTTCGAGTTAAGAACTTTAAGTTGGAACAACATTTTTGCTTAAAGTCCAATTGTCTAAAGCTTAAAGCCAAGAGGAGAAAATTTTCTAAAAATTGCGGAAGGTCTCAAATGACCTTCAGAAAGATTTAAAAATGAATCAGAAGTATGGACTGGCATTCCATTTTCCACACTTGCGGATGGAATTACCAAATTCGCTAAGGCGAAACTTGAAACTACTTGGATATGGAATTGAACTTGAAAACTCACCCACCAAATATTTTACTTCCATTTCCAACAATAAGCTTCATACAATTGTTTTGCGCGAAGTATCCATGAATATCAGTTTGTCTTTTTCTATAAAGAGATATATGATAAACAGTTTAATAAAGTTATAAGTAGAGAGGTTTTAAAAAATCCACCCGAAATTGTGGGAAATTGGTGGAAAAGACTTGCATAAGACATTTTCCTAATATCCTAATATTCCTAGAAAGGAAAAGGAGTTTTTTCTGGCCGGCTTATTTTTCAAGCTCTACATTCAATATACAAATATTTGTTGAGTGTTCATAGCTGATTTTAGTGTATCTTCTAGTCGAGACAGAGTAATTTTACTATTCTTATTTGATAGAATTTTATACTTCTATATGTACATCGGATGTTCAAATGAGTTTAATAAAGTTATTAGCTCATAAATCAACGCAAAGGCATTAAAAAGCCAATTGAATGCCTTGCGTAGACTTGGCAGGAAATATAAATCTATTATATTTGCCCGATTGTATATGCATATGCACAAAACAAAACACATAAATATAAGTATTATACGATATTAATGAATTCGAAAGTAAATCGCTGAGTTTTATTGAAAAATCAATAAATATTAACTCAAATGCAATTAGCACTTGTTGCCGGCTTATCGAATAATTGCGATCGGTTTGAGTGTGACATTAAATTAGCTAGTCCAAAAATGTACATGGCGTTAAATGCGGTTTTATCATAAATTCATTGTTGGACACTTTTCACTTAATTTATGTGCTCAACGAAAATGTAAATTATTTAATTTAAGCTCGACAGAACGTTAAGTTGCTCGGATCGTAAATTAAGCTGATTGCGATTTATTTTAACAGCCGAAACCTAAAAGTTTTGCGACGCTTCAATGAATTTGTTTTTAAGTAGACGACTGCCTCTCAAATATTGCCAGATTTGAAAGCCGAACTGAGCAAACGCGTTGATCATTTGCATTGCAAATTGCCTGGTTGCCTCGCAAGCGCATAAAAATGAAGTAAATATATATTTTATGTTTCACTTGTCGTCGTTTAATGCCATAAAATGGGTATGTGTCTTATTAACTGTTGAGAATGTCGTTTAAAATACACAAAACCGGTATGGCACCAGCCAACCAAGCCCCAAACAGACCATATACCCAGCCACTGGGGCCACTGAAGCCGCCAAAAAAAAAAAGAAAAACCGACAGAGCCGACTGGCAGGGCGCCCCCAATCGAAGCGCCCGTTACCTGATTTGGTGTCATTAATTTTGGAATCGTAAAGCCCACAATATGTCAAATGAGACCACACAGCGTCGTAAAATTCAAAGTTTATGGCACTCACTCAGTTTGCCAGGGTTCGGATTTCGTTTGGTTTCGGTTTGGCTTTGGTTTTGGTTTTGGTATTTGGTATTTGGTTTGCTTGGTCGGTCTTTGAATTTTTTATCAGAGTGGCGTTTTTAATGGTTTCGCTTTAGGTGCTGCGCTGTCTAAATGTGTTGCGTGTTTTGGTTTATAAACGCTTGCCACAATATTAAGCGTAACTTATTTGTCAAGTCTGCCAAGATTTCGAATTTCGTTTCGTTTTCGGCAATGGGAAAACTGGAAATTCAAAATATATTACTTACATTCAGTTCGTGCTGACAAAACATATTACTGACGGCCTTACTAATTAGTCAATTCACTTTGTTTTCTATAGAAACAAACTAAATTTTCTATTAAGTTAGCGACTGATCCAATAAATGTGAATATTTCCAAAAATTCCTACGATGAGTTCATAGACAATTCATTATTTCCTATAATCAGTTCACAGACTCCGCGAAAAGCGTTGTTCTGAATTGAAAGAATTTGACCAGTTCTGTCTTTAAAGCATAAATTGTTTTTCTTAAATTTAGAATTAACAGTTTGGGTCTCTAAGCTGACGGTTCCATGCAAATCGAATATCACACATGGCATATATATTTTTTCCCTGAACCCATTAAAAAGGGTAAGAAGGATATACTGGTTTCAAGGCCCTCTTACTTTTTTATTTTACTTTAAGAACACTCTCTTAATAGATTTTTTGATTGAGTACAGGAGAAAGCATTCATTTCTGCTTCTTCAGCAATGCAGTAATCAATGGTTCATATTCAAAATATATTAATGAGACGGCAACATAAATGAATGATTTTGATTATACTAATCTGGTATCCAAACACTCTTTTAGGAAAACGTGTAATTCAAAGATTATGACTTAATTTAAGTGTCAGAATAGCGAAAACCCGACAGTAGCCAACAAATTCCAAATCCTAATACATTTGATGCCCCATGGCATCGTAATAATCTTAAATGCTTTATAATAACCATAAATGTTTGAAATTCATGTGTCAAATGCCTTTGGTCGCACAGAGTCGACGGACTGGACAGACTGTGCCAATTCGACGGCCACACAGTCGCAGCATGAAGTCTCCAGTCCCCCCAGACCCCACCTCTACAGTCCCTGGTCCCTGGCCTCGGGTATCTGGTCTCTGGTCCCTGGTCCATGGTCCCTGGACTGTGCCAACTGACCGACTAAATGCATGAAAATTGTTTATGAGCGTTTCGTGTGTGTATGTTTGGGTCTGTGGCGTATTTGAATTTAACTGATTTTTAATGTGCATGCAGACGAGCGGGCCGGGCAGATCGGGAAATGACGAGGTTTGTGGGCGGCGCACGCAGTATAAGATAAATAATCACATGGGGCATTACTTTGGGGTCGCCGTTTGCATTAGCCAATTTGCGGCAGTTTATTGCTGTATACATTTGGCATGATTGGGGCTACTGTTTAATAAACTCGTTGATTTATGGCTAATTAAATTAGTTGCCGTATTAATTTATGCTTGTTTACGCGCTCATGCGCAATGGCCGCCTCAATGGGTCATTGCTACAGTCGCTGCTTGGCCAAGTGAGTGGATTTCATGATTAATGATCACAAAATTGGGTTGAGCATGCTGCTCATAGTCATGTCTGTGTATAGGAAATATGCCGTATTCAAAATATAGCTAAGAACTGTGTTATGCCTTAGCTGTCAGTTATGCATCACGTTTCGTTTTGCGAAGCTTCCATTAACCCATCGTCAATGTCTAGGCTAGCATTTCATATGCCAAATTTCGCCCAAGGTCCCCTATCGAAAGTCGTGCCAAATCTTACTGCCTGATGGCTTGGGGTGTTAACCACATATAGCCAAAGCCCACTTTGGCCTTGCTTATCCCAAATTGCAATCAACTTAATAATAGGCTCGTCCTAATGTTGATTACAGGTTGCTTCCACATTGCCAGTGAATGTTTTTGCCGCTTTACGCACTGTAATTATCTTGTGAGCTGCTGCACTGACTAATATCTACTCAAGCTAGTGGCTTGGATAGTCTATAACTTTC